TTCAGCTAAATAATCAACTTGTCTTTGCCTTCCACCACTAAACAAGCAAGCAGTTCATTGTGCTTTGGGCAAAAGGCCTTAATGACATTCTTACACATTAGTCTTTTTTAATGTGTATAGCTGCCCTGTGCTGTTTCAAGTTGCTGTACCACCAATACCTGCTCACTTAATCAAGATATTTTTGCTTCATTGCAACTTGCCACAGAACAGTTCAGTTTTGTATGAAAATGATTCCCTGAATCAGCAGGAGTTCAGCCCAACTGCTAATGTGCATTTCTAGAGTCGAACAAACAGCCCAGTCATGGGCTTGGTGGAAAGAGTATGATTTAAATATGTGTGCTGCATAGTTTATTTTTCTGTGCTTAAAATGATTGAACAAGTCAAGTTTGGATGGGCAGTGCAGATCGTTATGCATCAAAGAAACCTGTTAGGTGTTAAAACATTTCCCAAGGTTGTAACTGTGGTTGTGAGATGGCAGCTGTTTCATATGATGCTCAATATGTTCAAGTTGTCTCTTCTTAGTATACAACAAGTTTGTCATAACACACAGCTTGCTCAGCCTACTCACTATTGAGCTTGTAGTATGAGCCCATTTCTCAGTCACCTGAATTATTGAATTAGGCAACTACATAAGTGAGAGTAATTGTGTGGAGTTTTGTTTTCTCTATTTGCTTGTTTAAAAGTGTTTATAAAGTGCTTATTTTTTTGAAAACCTAAGTGGTGTACAATATAAAATATATTGGTAAAAGAAATATACAACATAAAACTAATAAAACAGTAGTATAAAAGCATATTAAAGACACCACAATACCTTCAGGAATTCAGACACACAAAACATCCCATTCTTACTGGTCAGGGAAAGCTTAATCAATGAGGAATCGAAGTTCCTGGCTGGTTCTTAATGCACACACTTGCATGGATCTTTTCTGCCTGATCAGTACCCTGCTATTGCAAAGGCATTCCTATTTATAGTAGGATCAAACCACGGGCCAGTGACAAATCCACTCTCTGTGTGTAAAGGAAATTCTATAGAAGAAAGATCATGGTGCATTTAAAAAATCAGAACTGTTTCACCTCTGTACAGATGGAAAAATGGGATTAACTACTGAAAAGCTATAATGCATCTGTACAGCGTGTCCTATTTTATTTTAAATATTCAGAGAATCAGGGGAAATAGGGTTGGGATGATCCTTTTGCTTGGATGCTAATTCTTGTATGGTTGCTTTCTAGCATCATGCTTTCTTGGTCTTCTCTTCTGTCAGACAACTAATGGCGGCAATTGTCCTGGTTCTTAATTTTGTCTGTTTAACTGAAACGGTTGCACTCACCATTAAGAACAGGCTCAGTTAGATATCATTGGCAGAGAGATACAAACAGATATAAATATCTAATAATATACAAGAGAGTGCTAAGTTGTAATGAAATTAAAAATAGATGTGAGCTTTCATCGGCAGTGCTAAGAGAGCATATCCTTTTGGCTCTTCTTGCAGCTATGCAGTTCCTATCCAAGTTGGTCATTACATAAGAACTCTGTTGTGTTAAGAACTGGTGCTAGGTTTGCTGCTTCCTCCCTCATCTTTCCCCCTTTTTTGTGTTCTGTCTGTTAGATTATATGCCTGAGTACAGGGACCTTTTTGATTTTTATTGTTCTGTAAGTAGCTCTGGGAACATTTTTGGCTGAAGAGCAGGGTAAAAATGCATTTGGTAAAATATATTACAATATTTTAAGTACTTTAAATGTAGAGTTCTTATATCAGATGATTTTCTCAATCATTTGAAAAAAGACACAGTATGGGAAACAGTGGTACTATGAAAAAACCATTTAGAGTGATATTCCATTCCCTCCCCTCCCACAATTTACTCTGAAGAGTCTTCCAAGTCTTTGGAGCAGACTTTGGTGCATGGTGGGGTAGCTGCAGAGGGGAGGATAGGGAGTTCTGTTACACCAGTGGTGGCCACAGTTGGAATTCACCCAGAGGCTGCAGTCCTTTGCACACTTACTTGGAAACAAACCCCATGGAACTCAATGGGACTTGCTTCTGACTAGGCATATACAGGATCGCACTGTTACTGTCTAAAATGTGTACAGTTCTATTAAAAATGGAGTGTGAAATGGAATAAGCTGCAGACTTGAAGATTAGATAGGCACAAGATGTAGGAGATAATATCCAAGTAGGAACTTTTGGAATATTTGTGAACAGAATGGGAAATTGATATAAAATGGCAACTAGATGGTATGTTACTTTAGTAACCACGAGTAAAACCAGTAACTGCATTTTTATTGGCTGCAAACATTTTTTTAAATGAGGAGATCTCTGCCGTATGTGGTAGACATACCTCTGTGCAGAAGGATATTGGGAGAAAATTAATGGAGAAAATATTAGGCAATACCGATTCAGCTTGACACTTTTCATTTTAACCTACAGAAAAGATTTAATACGCAAAGAACATAGAGAACTGACTGGTTAGACTTGTTCATGCTATATATTGGAATGTAGCTCCAGAAGCACCAGGATGGCAGCATGATTCACTTTCAAGGAAGCTCTTAGAAAAAGGCTTTCCTCAAAAAATGCCCAAATGAGAAGAACAAACTTTGGCAAAAGCAGACAATACAGGACACTAGAAAAGAATTTGAGGAGCATGCTAAGGCCAACAACAACAAAATCTTTAAATATATTAGTAACAGGAGATAGTCTAGGGAGGCTTGGACCCTTGGATGACCAAGGGGGTCAAAGGTGTGCTAAAGTAGGAAATTGCAGAGAAGCTGAACAAATTATTTGCATCCCTGGAAGGTAGTCTGAAAAATTGAGGCAAAATATTGATGAAATATGACATTCTAGGCCTAATAGATAAAATAAAAACTGATAATAACTGAGTCTGGATGGCATCATCCTGAGAGTTCTCAACTGTGAAATTGCTGATATTCTAATGGAAATATGTAACTTCTCCCCAGTATAAACCTCCATATCAGAGGACTGGAAAGTGACCAATGTTAACACCAATTTTTAAAAAGGGTTCATCAGGGGATTCTGGAAATTGCAGGCTAATTAGCTGAAAGCCTGTCCTTGGAAAATTGGTGGAAAATAGTTATCTTCCCCAGTGCCATTTGATAATGTTAGTCAATGAACAATTAACTGGTGTTATTCAAAGGAGTGTCAGTGAGGCAGTATATGCCATCTAAGCTTACATATATTTCTGGCTGTGTTGCAATTCTAAATAATCATATTTTATGATGCAGACTTATATGTGGGGAAGGAAGAAGTTGCCTCAGCAACTTGAAATGTGGACAGATACAGGATTCTGGACAGAATATAACATGAATAAGTTGAATGAGTGTGCCACAGAGAATTAGCTAAGAAAAAGCTGACTCTAAAAACCAAACCAGAAAATTTCCTCATAGTTCTTTGACACCAAGACAAGGCAAAGGTGTATCTGGTGACAAAACAGTGAGAGAAAATTGCAGCAATGAAGTATTTCATGTAACTATTTGTCTTTCCTACTCATGTAGTTGTGAAATGTGGTGGTTGTGCATAGGCTGCTCAGTTAGTGAGGAGCAGGTTTTGTTGCTTGATTGGTGGTATTTGCAACTCATGATTATTATACTGTTTTAGTTGTGCAACTTTTATAATTATGTTATATGTATGTAAATGGTTAAAGCCTCAGCGCCTAGGGCTTGCCGATCGAAAGGTCGGCGGTTCGAATCCCCGCGGCGGGGTGCGCTCCCGTCGTTCGGTCCCAGCGCCTGCCAACCTAGCAGTTCGAAAGCAACTTCGGGTGCAAGTAGATAAATAGGGACCGCTTACCAGCGGGAAGGTAAACGGCGTTCCGTGTGCTGCGCTGGCCCGCCAGATGCAGCTTTGTCACGCTGGCCACGTGACCCGGAAGTGTCTTCGGACAGCGCTGGCCCCCGGCCTCTTGAGTGAGATGGGCGCACAACCCCAGAGTCTGTCAAGACTGGCCCGTACGGGCAGGGGTACCTTTACCTTTATGTAAATGGCACAATATCATTTTAAATGTTTTTAAAATGGTAAAGTCAGGTAAATCCCACATATTGTTTGTGTAGGCTTTGTATATTACATTTTAGGATACTGTTGACACTTTAGCAGTTGCTTTTTAAAAAATATTTTATTACAGATGAAACATTAAAACAAACCAATATAAAACAATCAAAACATTCCAAAGATCACATTGGGGGAATACACAAGTGAACTGTGCGTCCTCATAACACACTTCGGAAAGAATGTAACTATAAATGCCATAGGCACCAATCTATAGAATCGATTACAACAACAGACTTGCAAAGTTGACAGCAACCTTCTTTATCAATTTAAACATAAAAGGCTAACTGGGAGTGGAGAGAGGCTTGGTAAAATATTACATAAACTCCATTTGTTGCTTAGCTGCTATGTCTATTTCGGGGATAGAAGAAAATGGATGTTGCCATTAAAATTCAAAACTGCCAGGCAATATTAGGGGCAAATAAATAGATTTCTATACTTAGTAATAGCTCCTGGCCTATTATTACAATAGAATTGCCTTTCTGCATCATAGCAGAACTAACATTTGCTCATTACATGGGACAAGCTCTGTGGTTTTTAGCCTACGTAAAATAATACAGACACTACCAGCTTATATAACACAATGGCAAAGAAGAGTGTGTTTACTTCTCAGTTTTACTCTTTCTACAAAATGGCTTGTCCCTAATTTCTGAAGTCCTTAACTCATTTGCCTTACAGCCACAGACAGATAATATATTGGGATGCGCATTTGTGTTCTTCAGAAGCTCCTCGCCAAGCAAGTGCTCTTCAGTATTTCTTTTTAATGGAAAAAAAACTAGTCTTAAATGCCTAAGGAGATAACTTTAAAAATGAGTTCTGTCAACTGGGTTTTGTTTTTTGCAGAGTTTACTTCCTTGGGAAGCAGGATGCATAAAACATAAATGCTTCTGAAAACACTGAAATGAGAATCTTTCAGGCTTAATGCATATTTCTCTACTGCAGCTGAGCTTGATGCAGAGCATGCACAGAAGGTGTTGGCTATGGAGCATACCCAGCAAATGAAGCTAAAGGAGCGGCAAAAGTTCTTTGAAGAAGCTTTTCAGCAGGACATGGAACAGTATCTCTCCACAGGCTATCTGCAAATAACTGACAGACGAGGCAAGTACTGAAAATGTTCCATGTAATTTTTAAGCTAGATCCCAAGAGGAAGCAAGATTTTAGTTCCTTCAGTACATCTCTATCCTGTTTTTTCATTTATAAGTTCTTATTGGCTTGCTTGTTTGAGCATTCTCTTCTTCAACCAGTGAGCAGAATGAGACCCACTTAGCTTCTAAGAATGTAACAGCAGGCAAAGGACTGTCCTGTATGCAGGACTGCGATTGAGGCGCTGCAGCTGGAAATAGCATAGCACCAGTGGGTGGGATGAGGGCTGATAAATTTTAATATTGCAGTTGCTTGCTCCACATGAACAAGTAAGTGACAGATTGCAGTTTTGCTGTAGCTGTTTTCCTCCACAATGATGAATTGTATGGAAGAAAACACAGCCGAATCCGAAGGCCTGTGGTATAGCAACTGTATAGATGTATGAAAGCTGTAGGTTCTGAAGTAAGTTTAATAGTTTAAGACTTTTCCAGATGGATTCTGTTGATCTTCCACAGTTCAAGTGCCCTGGATCCAGCACCTTCGTTGTCACAGTAGGATTTCCTACACATGTACAAAGGACTTTTACAATGCCTGAAACTTCTGGGGCTTCTATCACAACCTAGCACATTCTGTTAGTCTCAGGGTTAATTCTGGAGAAATTAAGCCACCTCTTAATAGCAGTTTGAGATTGGGATGTTAGCTTCTTGCAATGGCAGTTATGATTAGTTTTACTTACCTGTCTCATAATGATAAAAATCTTTTTAAAAATGTAAGTTGCATCATCCTAGGTTTGGGAATGAAGTCTGAAGTAGTTCCATTACATGAATTTCAGAAAGTAAAACTGTAAATCCAGTGCAAGTATTTTTTTTAAAAAAAATAAAGGTAAAAGGATACCTATTCACTAACCGTAAATGTTATCTTCCAGTATGCTTAATTCATGCCATAGTTTTCTCCAAAAGTGATCATATATGGGTTAGATTTTCAAGTTTACTTGTTTACCTTTTTCTTATGGCAGAGCCGATTGGAAGCATGTCTTCTATGGAAGTAAATGTGGACATGTTGGAACAAATGGACCTTGTGGATATGTCTGACCAAGAAGCCTTAGATGTCTTCCTTAATTCAGGAGGAGAGGACAGTACTATGTCATCTCCTATGATAGGTATAAAATGAACTCTTGCATTCTTGATCTGGTTGCACTGGCATAAAAAGAAATAGAACTTATTGATGTTTTTGAGCAGGGTGGATACGTATTAAATTGAGGTGATTTAAATCACCAAGAAAAAAGATCTAACATAAATTGTTGATTTCAATCACATTTCCCATTCTTGTGTTTTCTGAACAAATATACATATCACCAGCCAGGTTCACCAAGATGCAGGATTCAGCAAGAAGCCCACATTTTTCATTTCACAAAAAAATTGGAGGCTAAATTTGAACTAGAGCCTTAGTTCAAGGATACTTTCATAAAACAGAGATTCTTATTGTGGCTACTTTCCTGACATCTTATGTCTTAGACTGAGGTTTATGTGCTCCATTTGTTCTGGATTATTAGTAAGGCATTACAAGATGTGGAGCACACAGCTTTTTATGCTTTAGTATGCAACTATTCTTCACTTTCTTTTTCACCCTGAGAAACTCAGTGCCATTTCTGGAGCATGTATTCAAATGCTTTCTTACTTTCTCTCAGCTATTTTGTACAAAACACCTAAAGCATTTAGTCTCCCAGTTTTTGTAATATAATGGGTTTCTAACAAATGAATAAGCCTAGCTCACTGACTTCTCTTGTTATTTTGAAGGATCAGACAGCAGTACTGGTCAAAATGAAATTAGTCTTCAAGTTCCCACCCAGTCAGCGTTGAGAGAGTTGTCCTCCTCCTCTTCAGCCTGGACTGATTCTGCCAGCCAAGATGCCAGTGAAGGAGAATCGCCTGTGATCCAGTCCGATGAGGAAGATGTGCAAGTAGACACTGCCCTTGTTGCTGTAAATACTGAAATGAAAGGCCCTTCTGATGTTAGTGATGAGAGTGATTCGCAAACAATTTGAGTTATCATGGTGCTCTAAAGGAATTAGGACCCTGGAATGAATGAGTGAGTAAAGAAGTATTTTGAGCTTGCTTTTGTTACTCCAATCTTATAATGAAAAATATTACCATATATAAAACTTGAGTTTGACAGTCATGAAAATACTGATTTTTATTAAAAATTTCTTGAAGCACACCATTAGCAATAAAGTGTTGGCTTTGGAAAAGTAAACCTTGTATATAAAGGATTATCCAATGAACAAGTTGTTGTAAGGGTTCCTTTTAAAATCCTCCATAGGAACATAATACAGAAGCCATGTTTGTTGTCACAGTGTGCATGTCTTAATTGTTGTGGCTAAAGACTGGTAAATGTTTGTTGTTTAGACAGAAGAATAATAGCCTCCAATTATGTGACCTTCCAGATGTAAGAAACAAATTGATATGCTTTCTTACTGATGTTTTACATACCTATAAATAATGAGCAGAAAAAGATCAGCAAGTACTTGAATAGTTGAAAAAGTACGTGAACTTTGATTCCATGCTCCTGTCCTGTTGTTGCTTTGTCCTACATTTAGTGGGATAAGCCTCATTTGTGATAAGGGATGTAGAAGCATGCTGCTTTGTTCACTTCACAATAGATACCGAAAGACTGATGAAGTGCACTAGCCTAACTTTAAGACTGTTGAAGCTTTCTACTTACTACCTGTAGCACACAGCATCAGGCCAACATGCTTGTGCTATCCCTATGTAAGAGATTATGGGCATGTTCTAAATGAGCAACTATTCCCAAATAGTTGACTACTTGAAATAAGTCTCAGAAGCCCATTTCTCTTTGGGTTCGGTGGAATAATGTACCTATAAATGAAAGCTGGGAATATCTGCTATACGTGTTGCATCTTTCCTGACTTTTGAAGTTTAATCTCTACTGCTCTTTCAGAAGAAAGACAAAGTGTCCAAAAAGTGTGGTTTTTTTATTAAACCTTGTATTACAAACCTGAAAAGTAAACAAAACTGGCAATAAACATGAAGTCTTTCCTTACAAGGAAAGAGAGCAGAGCAGCGCTAATAAATTAAATGTCAAACTGTAAGCCATAGTCAGAAGTTTACTGTCAAGAAGGAAAAAGTACACAGCAAGGCCATAAAAACCGGACAACCACATTGGAAAACACTCGACTCTGTATGTTATTGTTAAATATTCCAAAACAATTCGTCTTCTGCAACAACCGACAATATGTATTTTATAAGACTTTTCCTGACAGTCACCACTGGCAAGCTCAGTGCAATATGGGTAGCTCTACGGTCTTGAATTCAATTATGAAACAAAAGAGTTTGTGAAAACATTTTCCCTTTTTTATTCCACACATACTGTACACACAACTGGAAAAGGGCAACAACTACTCCATTATTATTTTTGTTGTTGTTCAGTGATGTAAGCAGCACTTATAAATGTTACAAGAAAAACCCTGTAAGCATCCAAATCCATCCGATGAAGAAAGTGAAACGTAAGGCTTTTCTTCATCTTGTCTCTTTGCCACCCTTCCCCACCCTCCCAAGAAAAGGCTCAAGTATTTAAAACAATTTACAGGCTTATGTACAAAAGGTATGATTTCTTTTTTGTTACAACATGAAGGAAAAAAATAGACAAGATGAGAGCAAATGCATTTTTCACATTCAAAAGAAATATGCAAATCTGCTAGTGGCTCTAAATGTGATCAAACAACAAAACAAAATTCAAAACAAAATTAATGCTGACTGTGAAAAGGTATGAAAAACAGCAGTGGAATGGAAATGGAATGTTAAAGATTGCACGTCTATGACAAGAAGCACTTATGGCTTCAATCATTTTAAAAGGATGCTATTGAAGGGTTTTTGATAAAGTAGCCAACAGCACCAAAACATAACAGAATGGATTTCCTAATGAAATCAGGCACAGTTTTCGCTCACATGACTCCTCAAGGCAGGCAGTCTTTTTCTTCTCTTTCTTCTCCTCCTCGAACAGATGCATAGTGAAGTGCTGGTAACAGAGAACAATTTCTCCAAATCTCCCATTTTGCCTACAGTTAGAAAACTAAGTCCAACTTCAGCTGCCATAACCTCTCAAAGAAAAGTGTGTATTCTCCAATTTAAAAAGGTACAAAACTCATCCTGCCTGTTACAGAATACAAGCCAAAAGTATAGCAATTTCTTTCAAGTTTTGTCTCCTATCCCTTTTCTCTCTAGAAAAAAATCTGTTGACATGACTTGGAGAACAAATTATAAAACGCCAAACTTCAACCTATCAAAAAAAGAGTTTAAAAGCCTTTTCACAGTTACCAAAAAATGAAAAAAAGGCTTTGTAGCTTCAGACAGAGGGACAAATACAAATGAATTTCATCAGCCCCTTGCTGCTTTCAAAACTGAATGTACAGCAGTTAAAAAAATCCTGCTGTAATCTAACTACCCTAAGTAAAAAATAAAAATAAAATAAAATTCAACAGTTTAATGCTAAAACAAAATTAGTTCTCTAAAACCAGAAGAAAATCTTCTTTAGAGCTAGTGCAAAGACAGCTTGTATTCTACAGCAAGTACTCCAAACTATGATATAATAATTACAAAAAATATATATAAAATTGACAAAAATGAGAGAGTGTGTTGGCATCTTCATGATTAACTTGAAGCACTTTTGGATGAACTGGAGGATGAAAGTCTTGATGATGGCACGTCGACTGTTGCTCTCTTCCGAGGTCCTCTTTTTGGTGTAGGCTTGCTGATACAGTTCTCAATGGTGCCATTTTTGCCAGATACTTTTCCACAGATTTGATTGACTAAACTGATAATTTGTTCCTATTTCAGAAGGAAAAGAAAAATGAGTTTAGATAGCAGAAGCCTTAACAGAATGTGGCAAATAAGCTCGCAACAATGGCCATGCACCAGATATAACACTCCTCTCACATCGTCCAGCACAACTGTGAGGAATGGAACAATTCTGTTTAAGTAACTTGTTGAATCAGTGCTTTATGAAGTTTGGCTTTTTTAAAAAAAACAACCCACCCTGTTTAATCACAATTTGACATGCTGTTCAAACTAATCTAAATTAGAAATAAGGGAGAACACATGAACCCAGAGCTCATTCATATATGCTGAACCACAGATTATTTGCATTCTGCTAATGACAAAAAGTCCTCACTTAAACCTTTTAAAAAACCTTTGCTTTTTTTAAAAAAGATACTTATAACTATTTCAAACCACGTTATTGAAATTTCTACATACTTACTAGTCTTCATATAATGATGGAATACAGAACAAAAACTACATGTTTAAGGACGCTGTCAGGGGCTCAGGAGCAGAGGGACAGGAAAGGGAGGAATCCGAGGGAGAAGTTAGCGATGATAGCCGCCCGAGGTCTCTAAGTCTCTCCAGCGAATCGGAGGATTCACAGAAAGGGGCTCCCGTGGTCAGAGCTAGGGGGTTGCCAGAGGGAACACCCCAGGAAGGAGGGGCCAGAGGGGACTCAGAGAGCAGCAGTTGGAAATCGGGACCAGCTTCCCCACCGGAGAGCAGTAGGGGGGAGGAGTCCCAGGCATCGGCATCAGGCAGCTTTCCGTCAGCGGAAGGACATGAGTCAGGGTTAGCCACGCCTGCATCAGAGAGTGAGGAAACGGTCAAAAGGAAGGTCGGAGGCAGCGCGCGCGCGCCAAGTTCAAATGTACAAGAGGGTGGCGCAATGAGCAGCCCGGATAGGGAGCCAGGTCCTAAAGCCCGCCGAAGGGAGGGGGAAGAGTCCGAGGGGTCCGCTTCCGAAGCGTCCAGGAAGGAAGGGACCCCGGGGGGTGGTAGGACCCAGAGGCGGAAGGAGAGACGGAAGAGGTGGAGTAAGGCTAGAGTCTTAAGCTGGTGTACAGGGGGCGGAGACTCAGACGGAGCTTCGTCGGTCTAGGCTCTAGACGTAGAGACGCACGCTAGGGTTTGAAAATGGAAACTATGCTTCAATAAAGACTTTTGTACAGTTCTACTGGCTAGCGTTGGTCCTCTGTGAGCTGGGACCTGGAGGCAGTCTCTGACAGACGCCTTTTAAATGCAAGAATAAAGTGCCCATAAAATTGGAAATCAAAAGCAGGTTTTCAATATAGCTGAAATTATTTGTAAGATCAAATTAGAATTTTCAAAAATGTAAACTTTTCCAACCTATGAGTTATTATACAAACCTCATCATAGCGATACATTAGTTTTAGTCCTCGGCAAGACTTCTGTTTTTCTACGTGTCGCAGGGCGCATTCGAGGCAGAAGACAACGTTTTCGTTTTCCTGTACAACCTGCAAACATTTTTTAAAAGGTCAAGAGCATTAATAACCCACAGATCAGTATTTCCTGAACAGCCTGATTCTATATGGAAGCTTAACCTGGAAGTCTCACACAACCGTTATCCCTGTTTGTTAAGCCTGTGGGTGAATTCACTTTTAAAATTCAAACATTGAAACCACTCGTTACTACTGTTGGTGTGGCAAATGTAATAACCATGGTGAGACCGTTAATTGATATATGTTCAATCACTTTGATAGTGTTTATGGACACACCTATTTAGAATCAAATCCCAATCAGCAACAGAATTAGAAACTAAACTTTGCAATTCTTAAGCTCTTCCAAGCAAAACTGAGCCAAGGTGAACTTTTTCTTCCATAGAGGCTAAGGAATGATGTAAACATCAAGGCAACCCTGTTCATGTGGCAGATGCTACCATCTGGTGAGATGGGTGAGTGGCATGGTTCACTGACGGCACATTTTCTCTCTGCCACTGCAGACCTTTTCAAAATGTATTGGTAATTTGCAGTGGTGTGCAGAAAAACCACTCTATTTGTAAATGAGTAATTCTACATAAATGGCTTATCCCACGCTGACATTCAAAAGTGGCCTTCATATATGCACTAGTGCTACCTTGGGCTTGAAATGGCAGAAAAGCTTTTATATTGTGTCAGGAAAATGCATTTTCAGTCATGATTTTAATTTATTAGTCCCATAAGCCAATTATTTTGGTACTAAATTCTGAAGATAGCTTTATTCACTATTTATGCACTATTTTCTGCAACCTCTTGCTGGTCTGCAATGAGAAGTCTTATAGTTTATTACTAAAGTTCTTCTAGTAATAGGCTCGCTTTTACTGAACCGTTTGAACTACCTCCTTGACAAATCTTGAAAACCAGAAAACCCTCTTCACTTATTCTGAATATGCTAAGGGGCCTGTGGAAAGTGTGGCTCTAGCTCCTCCCCCTCAATGACATGACTCTTGATTTGACTTGTGATTGACTGAATGGTAAGGAAGACACCTTCATTGTGCATAGGATTTCCTACATGG